AGGCACATGTACTTCCACCGACTAAACACAGGTATGTAAGACGGGTAGCATGGAAAAGCTGTGTTTGGGATGTTGAAGAGAAGCTTCTGTGTCAAAACAAACCCCTCTTTCCCTCCTAGCATCTCCCCCATCAGAGGTGTCAAGGGTGGTACTTTCTGTTGACTGAGCCTCACCTTGGTTTCCTGGACAGCCTGACCACACCCACATTCACCAAGGCAGCAGAAGGGACACACTGTGATGTCAGAACCCACACTTGCTGCTATTGGCTATGGAAGACCTAGCTAACCAATCAGAGCGCAGGGGTGTGGCCTCCATTGTTCTGGGAGGGTATAAAACTCCACTCTCCAGCCTTCTAAGACAGAGCCTTGTGAGGCTTCACGATGGGCAAGGCTAAGAAGTCGCTGAAAGGCACTACAGTCCCCTCGACTTCGAATGCCCCCCTAATGAAGGGGGGCAAGATTTCACTAAAGCTTAAAACTCGAGTTTCTGGCAAAGCTGGTAGTGAATTCACTTCCAGAAGTGATGAAAATGTAAGTACACCTAGTCTAACAGGGCTCTCTCTACTCCATCATTCTCTCCCCGCTGGAAAACCAACCCTTCCACGCCTGGCCTGGCTTAATCCAACTGCTCAACACACACACTTAGAAATACTTGCTTCCTCACACTTACATACTAACCAATGTTACACCGTGTTGCCCTTCCAGAATCTACATGTCCTAGAAAGGGTAAAATGGACCCTGAAAAGGAGCTCCACATTGAAGATCTCGCAAGAGAGAACCATTCCTTCTGGGAAACAGAAGGCACATGGAAAAGCAATACCATCCATTAAAGAAAATAAGCAGCTGAAAAAGAAGAAAAGACGCCGCCGTAAACAAAAGAAGAAGAAGCTGCAGAAGAAGCTGCGCAAGAAGCTGAAGAAGCTCTGGGCTCAGTATGCGCAGCTGCAAAATCAAATGAATGTATTGTGGAATCAATACTATCAGCGGCATGGCCCATTGAAGAGGCAATTTGGCCTTGCCAAGCAGCTTCCAGTTAAGAGGAAGACACCATGTGATGAAGACAAGAAACTGCGGAAGCAGATAATCATAGCTCGTCGTCAAAACAATCTGCTGAAAGGCAAACATGTGAAGAAAGAAAAACGCAAATACTTCAAACAAAAGAAAAATCTGAAACAGGAGGTGATGACTCCCGTTCGTCGGAACAAGAATCTGAAGCAGGAGGTGACCAAAAAAGTTGATGAAGACATGCGCCTGAAACAAGAGACGACGACAGAATTGGGTCCACACATGGTCCGGATTGAAGAGATGAAGACGGAGTTTGATCCAGACATGCACGTGAAAAAGGAGATGACCAAACCCTTCATCCAATGTAGGCAACCGAAAAAAGAGGTGATCATGAAATTGGATCCAGACATGAAGCTAAAAGAGGAAGGGACCACACCCTTCGACCAATACGTGCAACTGAGAAAGGAGGTGACCACACAATCTGATCAAGGTGTGCACCTGAAAGAAGAGATGGACACAGAATTCCATCCAGCCATGAAGATAAAAGAGGAGGTGATCACACCCTTTGATCAATACATGCAAATGAGACAAGGTCTGGTCCCACAATTTGATCCAGACATGAAGCTGAAAGCAGAGGTGATCATGCCATTCCATCAAGATAAATTGGTCAAAGATGAGGTGACCACAGAATTTGATCAGGAGCAGCAGCTACAGAAGCAGTTGTTCACTTTCTGTTATCAAGACAACTGTGTAAAGGAAGAGATGATGACCGTCTGTTACCAAGAAAAACATCTACAGGACCAGACGGCCACACTGTATTATCAAGATCAAAAGATCAAAGAAGAGATGATTACCCTTTGCTACCAAAATATGCAGCTGCAGGACCAATTTGTCACACCCTACTATCAAGAAAAGCAGCTTCAGGACCAGATGGTCACATTCCTCTATCAAGACGAAAGGTTGAAACAGGAGAAGCTCACCTTCTGCTACCTCAACCATCAGGGGAAACAGGAGAGTTTCACCCGCTATGATCAACAAGAAGAGATGCAGGACAAGATGGACAAGCTCTGGGGCTACAGCAACCAGTATGCGGAGGAGATGAGCACTGAGTTAGCTCAGGAACACCAAGCCATAATGGCCTCAGACATCTCCACTATTGAATTCAATAGCCTGTAGCCAGACACCAGACATATGTGTCTAGTAGTATAGTTATTCAGAAATGCCCACTTATTGCTACCCAATGAGATTTGCAAAAATAAATTCATTGTGATGTGAAAAGATCTGTGTCCCTGTGATTCTCTGGTGGCAGAACTAGGAGGTCAGAAGGGAGGATGGGGATGTGAAGAGGGAAGGAGGCAGAGACTTTGTTCCTCATGTTTGGGGGTCAAGCAGCAAATGCATGCTCTGGAAGACACTGGAGAATATGAGCAGAACTTCAAGATCTTCCTGGCTCATTGTTCTACAGAAAAGAATAAAGAGCTGGGAATTCCTCCCTGTGTGCTTTGTATGGGGCTTTGGTTCAGGTTGTGGGACGTGTGTTTTGTGGTTGGCTGCAACACATACCTTGCAAAGAGAGGATGCATCACCTATAGGTAGAATATATCCTGGTGAATTTTGTAATAACCTCTCATGACCTAAATCATGGAAATATCCTTAGAAGGACTGTGGAGGAAATCCTACAGGATGCATTTGTTTAATCATGTAAGAATGTGTTATTTTGACTATGATGGATTTGTTTAATAATGAAAAGACATGATTCTATTTCACCTTGCTTGTCTAAAGAGTCTAATTGGTCTCATAAAAAGCCAAATGGCCCACATCGAGGCAGAAGAGGGACAGGTGGGGATGGCAGGCAGAGAGAATAAATAAAAGGAATACAGAATGGAAGAAGAGAGGAGAGAATGAGGGAGAAACAAAGGGACACCCCATCCATAGAGGTATAGAGCCAGCATGAAAGTAAGATATACAGAAAGAAAGAAGGTAAAAAGCCCAAATGCAAAACATAGATATAGAAACTGATTGTGATAAGAGCTAAGATAAGGCTGAGCATTCACAACTAATACGAGGTCTCTGTGTCATAATTTGGGAGCTGGCTGGTGGCCTAAAAAGAAAAGCCTAGTACAACCACCTTGTCTCCATGCATAGTTGCTTGTGCAAATAATGAACATCAGATGCATTGTGGGAAAACAAATAGGAAGTAGGCAAAAGTTCACATAATTCAAGTCAGTCAGTCAAAACAGAGAACTACACATGCCATATTCCTTAAGTGGCCAATCTTCTACTTGAACTCCATGGAAAAAATACCCAAGCAATAATCAGGACCCGTGAGTTATTGTCATCGTATGTCCTACTGTTTCTGGTGTATAGTATTCTTTGCTTTACATATCATGTTCTTGATATTTTGCAATCTGTGTGCCCTTTAATTTCACTCTTGACTAAGCTTCCAAAAACATGGGAACATCAGCCACAAACCTTTAAAAACCATAAACAATGTCACAATTTTAATAATTATGAACACAGCTAAGAGGTTTGGTGTGGACCATGGATATAG